GCCCACGCCCAAACCAACACCTACCCCCTCCTCCCCCTCCCCCCCCCCCCCCCCCCCCTCCCCCCACCACCACCACCACCACCACCACCACCACAACAACAACCACACAACACACACGCACACAAAAAGAGGAAAAGGGAAACTTCCCCCATTTGTAGGAGGACAAATGTGTAAAATGCCCTGTTCATTGGCATTGTTCCACCCATGAGCAGTCGCCTGCATAGGCTGGCACATAATGTTGGGTTATACACCCGCATATGAAGTGATGTGCAACATATGCCGGCACACAATAATTGTCTGCACACATGAAAATATGCGATAAACCCAAGGCATCATCCAACTTAATGCAGCCAAATAATGTATTATGCAACCATCTTTGATAACTATGCTAGGCAGTAAATTTTCATTTCGGTACAAGATTTGAGAAATTAATCAGTCAATCCATAACTAAAAGAAGATCACAGTCACTCACCACAAAAAGTAGACGAAAGTTCGTAACCAATAAAGTACCGGCTTCATCCATGTTTACAAGGACAACACCATAACCCTGAGAACAAGCACTCATGAATGAATAAATAATATACACTCTAACATTAAATCATTAATATATAAAAGCCAACTACTATACATCAAACAAAACAAAGTGATGCTGCCACAAATAAGAATTATTTTTCTCATTTAGATTCAAACAAATTAGGAAACAAGCAGACAAGTAAGACAGATTAAAGTTCATAACTTCATGCCTTCATGAGATTAAGTTTCTGAAACTCACACGAGAAAAAGGATTTCATTATTCAAATAAAAAAATAAAATTTATAATTGTAAATAATGATTAAAAAAATCATTAATATATAAAAGCCAACTAGAAAACAAAGTGATGCTGCCACAAATAATAATTATTTTTCTCATTTAGATTCAAACAAATTAGGAAACACGCAGACAAGTAAGACAGATTAAAGTTCATAACTTCATGCCTTCATGAATTAAGTTTCTGAAACTCATACAAGATAAAAGGATTTCATTATTCAAATAAAAAAATCAAATTTATAAATGCAAAATAATGATTAAAAAAAATGCACGTAGGTTTTCAAGCCAGCGAAGACAAGCAAGAAAACCGATACGCGTTAGCGCAACGGCTTTTGTGCTAGCCGTTGCTTCCTGCAAGAAAACAGATGTGTGTTAGTGCAATGGCTTTCACGTTAGTCGTTGCGTCTTGTAAGAAAATGGATGCATGTTAGCGCAACAATTTTCGCGCTAGCAATAAGTATTAAAACAAAAAAACTGAGGTATATATTGGCTTATGGTGGTGCTGAGTTCGACATCTAAAATTCTCCAACGAAATATCCAAAAAGGTGCAGAGATGGTCCTGGGAGATGGGATAGCGAGGAAGGAATCCCATCTTAGGTTTATAGGGTTGACAAGGAAGCAAATGGCAGATGGCAAGTCTCTTGGCGTTGCAGTTATGAGTTATGACAAGCGTCAAACTTTTAGACACCTTACATGACCGGGATAGTTGAGATATGATAGGTTAGCTCTTGAAGAGTCATAGTCAGTTTGAGTTGAAATAGGTGAAGATTTAGTATAGTCACAAAATGCATGCCGTGATTGCGCATCCACTCATTTCCAATCGGCATTCTAGAAGGTCAAGAATAACTAGGGAATACGGATTACAGATAGTGGGCAGATCAGTCCATGCAGGGGTGACAATTAAAATTTATCCTTGCTAAAAATGACTTCTTTTCTTATATCATGGAGCTACACGAAGTGTAGGCTTTGGGAGATTCATACCATCTGATTCATTGAGCATTAAAAAGGTGGGGGACTACTACTACTTCATAATCTGAGATGAGAACATAGGATGCACTTAATGCTTCTCATATTAAAGCCAATTTGTTGCCTCGAGCAGTTTTGAAAAGATTAGATTCAGACTTCTGAATTCTTGCAAGAATTCCATATATACGAAAGAGATATTCTTCTTTTGATTTTTCCAAAAACCCATTCACATAGTGGGCGGATTGGGCATTTGGATATTATCTATATCCATTATTGCCAACCATTCATGATTGATCGAAGGACCATGTAAAATGTAAAAAAAAAGAAAAAATCATTACTGGTTGTTGTGTGTATGTGTCCAAATATACATACAAACAAGTGTTGCAATTCGTACAACTGATCAGAAACATTATGGAGCTTGAAGTGGCCATGAATGTGTAAGGCGGGGACTTAAGTATAATGACATGTTGGAAAGACCTGTGGGTTTTCTCCTTAATGTCGATAAGATAAGGGATGGGCATTCAGCTGTACTCTTCTGGTCCAGTACGCCCAAAAGAGTTTGGGCACCTTCAAATTTTTCCTCAGATTTACCTGTGATGCTATATTTATAATAAAATAAGACGTTATTGGGGGCAAGGCTCTTAAAGTATGCCTGTAATTTGGTAAAGCTGCTGCTAGTTCCAAGGAATGGGAATACAGTTACGTTGCAAGAGATAGCTGAAATGTAAAAGTTGGTGAATGGTTAGGCACTCAAGTAAATGAACATGAGACCCAAATCAACAAGACTTAAACTGTTTTAGCTCACAAAATAAATCATGGGCCTGAAACATATGTTGGATAGAGCATCCTTCATTTACCGTGCTCCCACAGATGAGATAAAAAAGTTTCCCCACAAATCAGAAGTCTACGAGAACCAGTTAACAATCTGGCTCCAAAAAACTGATATTGGTGTTGATCCCAGAATGTCAATGTCACTCCGCATTTCAAGAGTACCATTTGTAATCATCCCATGATGGTTATCAACACCTATAGTCTTATAACTTTGATCTTCGAGGGAGTTGAATTAACCAATTGTTAAAAAATGAAAAATCATGGGACTATATGATCTGAAATTGACCCTAAAGAGTGAGAACATTCAACAAGCAATATACCCGTCTAATCTACGACAACAGGAATTCAAGTTTCGTTATAGCACAATGCACTGTTCCTAAAAATTGGAAAAATATCTCATGCACGGTAAAGAGTTTAAAAACATGACAGCATAAACTTATATGATTGGTGCATGCATCATATACAGATTCCAGAAAATGGGTTCAAACAATTCTCCAAAATGCATGACACAAATCCAGTAAGGAGCAGGCGACATTAGTGGTTTTCTATGGGATGAGGCCCATTGGTTGACAGAGAGGGGAATGAACGAATAAAGAAACCAAATAACTCATTAAATCTATGGGCGAACAGTTACCGCTACAAGAAGAACATGCATACCTGAACAATAACTTCCTCAGCTTCTAGAAGGAATTCATCCATGCCATGAGTCATAACAGTCCGAGACACAGGCTGCAAAATTCACATGCCCGATGTTACAAAATTCTAGCCAAATATAAATAAAGAGACCAAACTCATAAAGAGAAAACGAAGATCCAGTTGCAATAATTCCTGCTGAATTTTTATTGAAATTCAACACAGATTCAAACACAGATGAGAGAGAGTAAAACTATGCATGCTGACCACACAAAATCTGCTGCATTAGCTCGTACCATGAAGGATTGAGGAAGAAAGAACTGGCACATGACACCAAAAAGAGAGAAAGAGAGTGGAAGAGATCGTGTGTGTGTTTTGTGAAAACGAACCTCAATCTTGATGAAGTCGAGGGCGTCCCAGCTGCCCGCACCCTCCATTGCTTATTCCTCTCTCTCTCTATATATCTGGTTTCAATGGCACTCGAAGCTATGGCGCGTGTGGTAATTAAGCTCTCCCGCTTTTATCAGAGATTGCAGCGAATTGTTGACCCCTCTCCTCGATTTACTTTCTCTCTCTGCATAATTTCCATCCTCTCAGGTCTCTTCTCTTCATAGTTTCGGTCCTTTTATTCGAACCCTCGCATCACACGCCAGCGGCACGCTGACTGTTCGGTGGCTCACGACGAAATTGGTGAGATCTCAGTTTGGATGGGTTCTTGGGGCATCGGTTGACGCACCTATTCAATTGCGTCCTCATGAAGTTCCATCATATAAGGCGCCTTCGGACATTTTTTTCACATGTCAAATTAAGTAAGGAAATTGGAAATGGTTTATATAAGGGTGAGGCTTTCATCATTTTTTTTTATGTATCATCATTGTTATTGCTTTTTTCTAATTAATTGAGATAGGTCATACGAATCCCAGCCCGTCACTCTGGTCTATTTAAGGTCATACTCTTAGTGAGGGCATAAGTCCCTATATATTGTCTCACTTTTATAGTGGTGATGCTCTAAGTAGTCAAATTAAGGTGTATATCAAAAAATTCAGGAAAATAAGTTGTATTGATGTCAAAAAAATCTTCAATCCGATCATCTCGACTTCAAGATGTATAAACATTTAAAAAATGGATTTCAAGTGCTGAAAATAGTGCATTATGTAACGAAATTTCTGGACTGTCAATTTTCAAGATTTTTCAAGAGTTCAAATATCTGCTCAATCTATACCATACTAAATTTTAGGGAAAATTATGTATATATCTGTTATATTTATCGTTATTATAAAAATACCTTTTAGTTTTCATTATTACAGATATATATGTTTCTTTAACTTCATAACATTTTAAAAAAAAAAAGAAGACAAAACTGCCCATTTTTTGAAATATTTAAAATTTTTGGTTTTTTAAAAACCAAAAAATAATAATTTTTGGATTTTGAGAACCCAAATTTATATGCCTTTCAATTTTTCACGGACCTAAAATTTTCGCTCTAAGCCATCCTCCTCTCCCTCCCTCTCTCTACAACGAGCTCATGTTATTACTTGCAGACGGTGTTTTAAAAAATAGCAAGTCGCAACAGACTCACTCGAGTCGACATGGGAATCGGGGATCCCGTGTCAATTCCAGTGTAATACAAGTAATCGGGGGGGTCTAGAGAAGAATCTCTGATTCTGAGCAATATGCTACAGTGAATTGGTCGAGTCGACTCGACGACACGACTGCTGCAGTGCCTTTCTCAAAAAAAACAATTTTTTCCACCAAAAAAGCTATAAAATCCAGCGTTTTTCGATCAATAATGGAGATAATAGCTTTTTAAGTCTATAAAACAACGATTGGGCTTGGATCGAACCTAAGAAACAAATTTTCGTGAATAAATTTGGGGATTTTTAGCATATTACGCCTTTCCGCTAAAAGTCAATTTCTATGGTTGTTCTTTATCAATTTGATCCCTTTGTTTTTAACTGAACGATCATGGTATAACAGGTTTTCATCAAACCTATGTATGATTGTTTGTTTTTTTATATTTTAAAAATAATTTCATGTGGGATCCCATTGATCTTGTTAATTTTTGCTCCAAGATGCATTCATTACTAGTTTGTAGCCCTAGACCGGTGAGAGTGTTTGGTAATTTGATGTTCTCATGTCACTTGAGCCAGATGACATTAATACTCTCCTAGCTTCCAAACTTAGAGATATGTTTTCTCAATTGAATAATGTTGTTTGAGTTTGAAACTTAAAACTAGTGGTGACATTTTGAAATTTTGGCCCGACTCAAGTCACAGAAACGAAGAGGTGAAAAATACCCTTGTTTGTTTCACTTCCCAAAATTCTAACCAATTTTTTTTAATTTAAAAGCATGATTTAAGGTCATTTAGCTTGAATAATTTTAGCTTGAGTAAATTAAGTGATAATTTTACCAAATGCTTAAGCTCAAGTAACTTCAGTGATGAAATTATCAAATGCCACCCACTTCTTCGGGCTTCTAAAAAAGCAGTCACTTATTTAATAAAGTGGTTTATCCAGCCATCTCAATAACTTTTTGAGGTAGTTTGTCCATTTTATTCATATTTTTCTAGTATAGTTTGTTTACACATATTTAAACTTAGCTAGAAGTATTTTTTGACCTCCAAATTTTGTGATGTCACCTACTCAAACTAGGGAGAATGCCCAAGAAATGCTTGAAATATACATACGATAAACTAAAAAAAAAAAAACATGCCCTGATATTGCATGGAGACCATTCAAAATTTTGATGATTGATCTAGGTGTATTGAAAATCAGTGTTTTTTTTTTAAACAAAATCTTATATAGTGATTCTATTGTGGATCACAAAATTGGATAAATAAAAGCCTAGTCAATTGCCCAAGGGACTAAAAATATTTTCATGATTTCATCAAGTTTTTCTGTTTTTATAAAGTTCATTGTCTAGGCAACTAGAAGTTAGAACTGGAAAAATATATCATAGCACTAACCTTTGGCCATGGGATTATCAGCTTCTAGAAAAATAGTGGGCGGATGATTGAGAGAGCGAAAATGATGCTACGTGAAAAATAATGATTTAAAACCTGGTGATCTTTGATCTTGATGAGAGTCAGGATATAATTGATTCTAAGATGGTATGAGTCCTCTGACTAATCCTCCCCCTCCTCTTCCCTCTTATTTTTTTTATTTTTTATTTTTTAAGTTTGTCAAATGTTTTTTCATGTACCCTTAAATCCCCACACCATAACCCTTGTTTTTTTTTTGTTTTACTTTATTTATTTGTAAATATTATTTGGATCATCGATTCAGACTAATTCAACCCTGATCCAAATCGTCGATCTAGAGGTCCAACACAAATTTGTGGACGAACCACCGACCTGATTTTAAATAGGGGTGGCAATAGGTCAGGACAAGATCCAAACCCGGACTTGAAAAAAAAATTATGGGACCCGAACCTGGATCTGGACCCAATTGGACCTGCTCAAAAATATAAAAATACATATTTTAAATATATACATGTATTATTTAAATATTAGAACTAAAATATATAGTTACATTTATTTAAAGATCAGAATTTTACTAAAAATATATATTAAATATTATTTAAATAATAACACTATTCAAGTCGGGTCGAGGTGGATCCAAACTTGGACCCTAATAGTGTTCTGGTCCAATTTTTGGGCCCATACCTGGACCGGGGTCGGTCCAGATCCATTGCCACCCCCATTTGTAAAAGACCCAGTTTCTATGCGGCCAAGTCCACATTTGTAGAAATGCGGGCTTCTTAATAAGTTTATTTTTTAGATGGATTTTAATACTTAATATTTACAGACATGTAATCTCTAACACCCAGATCATGAATATGAATAAATAAATAATTTTTTAAAACTAAAAATAATAATTATAGTAAGAAGACATTTGGACCATTAGTTTCCATTGTTTTTAGATAGAACACTGACTTGCATCCATCTTTAAGATGAATGCTTTACACTTTCTAGACCGCATATGTAGAAATGCCGTCCAACCCGCATGAAGAAATTTTCCATTTTTAAAATACTCGCAAAAAAGAAAAAGAGCTCGGGCATAAATGGTTAGTGCTTTTAAAACACTGGTAAAAAAAAACAGAGCCTCGACATAATTGGTTAGCACTTGATGATTTGTATTGCTACATCCTAAGTTCAATCCCTACCATACCCTCTCCCCACTGACTCCATTACAATCCAACGTTCAGATGTACCACGACTATCCTTGGCTTAAGGATTCCTCAAAATCTCTAAGAATGGGGTACATTGCTTTTACACTTTTTAAAGTTGAAAATGATGTGATGTTCATTTCTCACTTTTACCCCTTTTTTTGCCTTATTTTTCTTTGGTTTCGGTGGGAGCGTAGGGAAGGGGAAAGATCTACACAAAAGAAACATTAAGGTACTTACTTAAATAATAAAGAGTAATGATCCTATGAGAACCTCCCACACCCATGTGTGTAGGACCCCAATGGATCACCATTAAATTTAGTACAGATCTCTAAAAAAGTTATCACATGGGTTTGAGATTTGACTTTTATAGAGATATTTGTCAAATTTAATGGTGATCATTTGAGGTCATATACACATGGGTGTGGGAGGGTCTCATAGGATCATTATTCAATAATCAAACATGGGTTATTAGAATTTAAGTAATGATCCTATAGGACCCTGCCGCACACAATTGCATGGGACCCTAACAGATCACCGTCTATTTTTTATCCATATCTCAAGATAGACTAAAACCTTACCCACTAACTTTGCTTTCCAACTGGTTGCCGGTGATTGCTTTCTCTTTCTTAAAGGTAATTTGTGTGATCCAAAAGCCCATTCATCTTCCTCCCTCTCTCTTTAAAAAGATAAAGGGAAAATTACAAAAAAACACCCTGAAATGAACTGTCTATGTAACTTACCCCCACCCCAATCTTTTCTCATACTTTTTCCCCCCAAACAACCTTTCCTTGCAAAAACCCCCCAAGGTAAAAAAATTATTATTATTTGGATGGAAATGCCCTTTTTGTACAAACCAAACCAATTCACGGATCCCAAGTAGAGTAGTGCCGGAGCGCAGTATACTACTGTCGGAGTGGAATGTCAAGAAGCACTGCCAGAGCGCGGTGCTACATTGCCGGAGAGTTGTGGCTCCAGATACTTCATTGCCTGAGCGAACTACCGGAGCGCATATTTTCACTGTCGGAGTGTATTCTTAGAATGCGGGAGCACTGTGGGTCAGACAAATGACTACCGAAGGGCACATTGGGACTGTTGGAGTGCGCATTCAGAATGCCAGAGCGCAGCTCTCAGTATGTCGGAGCGCTATGGGTCAGACAAAGCACTGTCGGAGTACACATTGTGACTACTAGAGCGCGCATTTGGACTGCCGGAACGCAGTCCTCCATTGCTGGAGCGTTGTGGCTCCAGAGGCTTCATTGTTGGAGCGAACTGCTGGAGTGTGTAGTTGCATTGCCAAAGCAAGTTATCGGAATGCCAGAGCGTTGTGGGTTAGACAAAGTGCTGTCAGAGCGCAAATTGGGACTGCCGAAGTGCATCTTTACTGTGGGGAAATAGGAGAGAGAAGGTCGTGTGAAAAAAAATAAGGGTTTAGTCTTATTTGATGTTACTTTTGGGTTGGGGGGTTTTTGCGAGGAAAAGTAGTTTGGGAAAAAAAACGTGTGAGATAAGTTTAGGGTGGGGGTAAGTTTAAGAGATAGTTA